CTATTAATGTATTGTTTATGAATTGAATTTCTAATAAAAACCTGCATTTAATGTTCATTTGCGATAAAAAAAAAAAAAAAAAAAAAAAAAAGTATTATATTATTTAAACACAAAATTTAAAATATGATATTTTGTAATCCAGATATTAAAATAAAACAGAATTTTCAAATTAAGCTTGTTATAATATAATTTTAATATATAAATACTTTTTTTTTTTTTTTAATCTAAAACTCTTATGTTAAATATATAATTCTTCAAAAACAATAATGCATTTTTGACTACTTTTAATAAATATCTAGTATGCACTTTAATTTATTTTAAAATAATCTATAAGTTATATAAAAATAATACCTTGTGATTTATACTAACTATCCTTAAATTTTCTACCATTATGCTTTATTTATTATCTAAAAAAAGGGCCCAAATTTATGACTTCTTCAAGAAGTTATCTTTTATAAATTATAACTTTATATTAAAATCTATTACAATCTATAATTATAAGAATCAAACAATATAAAGAATAAATTAATACCTTTTAAAACAAATCAAAATTGGGATATTCATAACTTTTTACTGATTATTATAAGTAAAAAGTGTTATAATTTATTACAACAAGTGAATATATAAATGCAATTGTTATTCAAAAAAGTTAATAATAGAAAAAAAAATCAAAGTTAGTGAAAATACAGTAAAGAGAACTTTGCATCAAAATGGATTGTCACATAAGTTAAATGTAAAAAGCTATATCTAAAAAACATAAACAGATATATATATCTTAAATTTACAAAAAATATTGATCTTGAATAGTAGAAAACTGAAATAAAGTTATTTGATCTGATGAGTTTAAATTTATAATCTTTGACTCAGAGGTACACAAATATTATTGAAAATAATCAGAAGAACCATTGTAAAACTATTATATTAAACCTATAATTAAATATAAAAGTAATAAAATTATAGTGAGAGGGTTTTTTGTCTGATAGTGTTGATAATATATGTCATATTTTTAGAATAATGGATAGTGTTCCATACAAATAAATCTTGAAAAAAAAATCTTTGAAAACTATCAAGTGTATAGAATGAATAAAAAAAGGATCTTTTTTTAATAGAATAATTATCCAAAGCATACTGCCTGTACAATAAAACAATAGTTTGAAGTGAAAGGTATTACCGTAAACCACTACATACAATACCCCCCCTAAAGTAATACCTTCCTTTAAATAATACCTGGTAGTATTCAAGAAAATTGTTACTCAATAAATGATTAATACCTGAATATATTAAGCTAGAGCCAATAAAATTGTAATATGAATGGGCAAGTAGAGATACATCAGATGATAATAAGATACTAAATATTCCGCATTTATACTACCCCCCTTTTAGTAGAATATCCTCCTGAGTACTAATCAATTTATCATGGGGTAATTGATTAATATCTGGGTATTGTATGCAGTGGTTTACGGTAATATGCTTGATTGATTAGCTCAGTTTTTTGACTTAAACCTGATTGAGCATTTGTAAAATAAGATAGATTACAATTTGAGATATTTAGAGACTCCTATTAGAACACAAAATTAATTATGGAAAGCAGTTCAAAAGATTTGAATTGAACTTGAAGATAATATATATGTGAATTTAATTACCAGTATATTAACCTACATAAATAATGCAATTAAAATAAATGGGGGTTATAGAAGATTGTGATTAATAATCTATCAAGTTTTTTTTTGTATTCAATTTATTTTTTTTATATTTGATATATAGTATAAGAAGTGAAAAAAAAGGAAATAGTAAAAAAAATACATCACATAAATAATCCACAATAAAGAATAAAAAGAATTTTTTTTTTACCTTATGTGAAAAATTTTATATTATTAAATATCTTTACATATGATGAATCACATAAAAGTATTTTGTGATGCTACAAATTTTATATCGTGATATATTGCTATTTTAATTTTTGTGATCTAGTGATGCAATACTTTTGACCATCACTGTAGATAATGATATTAATAATAAAAAAGGTTTTATTTAAACTATCAATAAAGCAGTAAATTCGTTGAAGTTATATTTAGAGTTAATTAAACCAAAATAAATAAATTGGTTAAGATTAACTTAATTATACACAAATTCATGCATAGTTTAATAAAGTACAATGTATCTAACAAATTTACAAAGAATTTTTTAAAAAAAAAGAGATTAAAATTTCACATGTTTAAATATCAATCTTAAAAAATTTATTAATAAATAATATTATTATTACTATTAAATTCTTAGAAGGTATAAAATAAATAACTTTTCATGAGACATGAAATAAGTTTATAAATTTTATGTAGTAATCTTAAAATTCCCAAAGTTTAAAAATTTTAGTAATAAAAAGACAGTTTTTATGCATATAATTTGAAATCTCATAATTTATATTTTATAACAGTTAGCTTTAAGGTCTCGCCGAAAATTTTATTTTACTATGAAATTGATTTACTTTGGGTGTCCATTGTACATTGATTAGTCACTAATAAAAGACATGCCATACTGTACTGATTGCGGGGTTAAAAAAAAAAGGATAAAGCAAATGTATGAAATCCCTAATCGATACCGTATCTTTAATAAAATCTCGGAAACAAGACATACTATCTTTTTTATAAAATTGTTTTCTGAAAAAAAATATGAAAAAGTCGAGACAGATCAGAGTTAAAAAAAGAACCATGTGCCAATATATCCAAACCATAATTTAATTATATTATGAGCTCACCTAGTCCTTCATACATCATTTACAACGCCATATTTGCATGTCATCTTTCTCACAACTTGATCGTTCGTTATTTTCTTAGAAATCTTTTCACCTGATTTCCCATTTGATTTACTACATCATCAAGGTTGTTCGGACGAACGCCAACCAAGTTTCCTACCGCTCCAGTTTTACTATTGATTGCATCGACTGCACAGTCAACCAAAGAGCCTGTTGCTGCAGCTACGATGGGAACCATGGAAGGAAAAACGTAAGCTGCTTCGGTGAATAGCGAATTGATTTTCATAACTCTATCTTCAAGGGAAGGTATGTTTTCGTTATTTCTTGCCATATTTCTTTTCTTTTTTTGCGATATTGCAAGAAATTCCAAAAGATTTTTCCTAGGGGGAATAAGAACAGAAAGCAGAATTAATCAAGCAGCTGTATATAATACTTTTTCTAGTGTTTACAAGCTTACTTTCATAGGAATTTTGTCGTTTCCGAGGAGAATCTCTATTATATAAGTGTTGATTGAGTCTTACTTAAGAGCGCTTTTGTTTCTCTTTTTGGTAACGAGGTTGACCATTGGGAAATATAAACGGATTTGCTTAGCCCTCCCCGAAAAAAAGGTTGGATTTATTTCTCACGCAATTTAAAAATGGCGGATTTTCTTTTGAATTTACCATTTTCGAGTTTATATCTGCTTTCTGATAGCTCCAAAAATGAATTCTTTCCCAATAAGTATTTGCACTCTTATCTTCTTGGATAACATCCGGAGTTTTTTTTATAATTTAGGCTTAAACTTTCAAAGATTTCCTTCATGGAAACAATGGGAATATACAGTATCGTATACCAAAATATCTTGATTTTAGAATTGAATTGACGATATTTGAACATTCACCAACGAATCATTTTGGATCAAGGGTGTCACGCAATTCCCTCGTAAACGATCATTTAAGGAAATTATCGGAATATGTTTGAAGATTACATAATTTTTATATAATGACGTACTAAGAAAATAACAAAAGACAAATAATAAAAATGTGTTGGGAACCTGACCGAACGTGCATAATACATGTCCGACGACGACATAGAATTCAAAGGTGATTTTCGGAGAAAGCGAAATAAATTTGTGATAAAAGACGCGTAAAAAATGAGGTAAGATAGATAGTCTATGAAATTATTAGATAAAAGTCGTTCAATTTTCCGGCAACGACCAAAGGAAATGTTTACTGTATATAAAACACGCACGTGATCGACATACTTACCCTCCTCGACATCATCTGGTTTGGTTCTTTGTGGATGGGAGCAAGACCGTTAAAGCTACGCAACGAATAACAAAAAACATGAATCCCAATCATATATTCGATTCTTGCAACAGACCTTCCGCGATATACTGTACTTACTGTGAGGTTAGTTATGTGAAGGTGGTGTATGCGTATCATAAAATTAAGACTAAAGTTTAATCACCGCACGCGCTAAACTTTTTAGCTCATTTGCGAGATATTTTTTTCTTGATGACTGGATAGAACTCGGCCTTTCCTTTTGTTAACCAAATTTTTAAATGTGAATGACAATTTTCTGGCTCTATATGTGATTCCGATGTCCCTATACTGCGTATACGTAAATACGTAAATCCGAGATTGCTATTTATAAATACAGTATATACTGTACGTGGACAAAAGTCTGCGTCCAAAATGATTGGCGTAAAGTATAGCGGATGCGGGTTGCGAACTTTAAAGTAATAATTCTTTAAAGCAATCATCAATTCAGTTTTGTTTTTGAGATGATTTGGTCATGCATGAACTCTTCTTTCTAAAACATCCCATAAATTCTTAATTGGATTAAGATCCGGACTTTGAGCAGACCATGAAAATGATTTAAATTATTTTCTTTCCATTTTTTCACTTGTTTTGTTCTATATACAGGAGCATTATCATCTTGAAAAAAATACAAAGAGTTATCAATAAAAGAATTAAGATAATTTTCAAGAGTTTCTAAATATCTTTGATCATTAATTAAACCAGAAATCTCAATTAAAGGTTCAAATGCATTTTGTGTAAAACAATTCCTACCATTACACCTTTTCCACCTGATTTTACAGTAGGTAAAAGACATTCTATATCATATTTTTCATGTGGTTTTTGTCAAATCTATTTAAGTGAATCATTCTCAAATATTAAATATCAAGATTCATCATTTCAAACAACTAATTGTCACTCAACAGTCCTGTTTTTTTTATTACACCATTTTAATCTTTTTTACATATTTTGTTCTGAAATAAAAAGTTTTCTCACTTCAGCTCGATCATAATAACCTTGTTCATAGAGTGTATAATAGATAGTCTTATTACTAACTGAAATAGCCATGGTAGTATTGAATTTTTTAATAATTTGTTCAACAGCTTGTTGACAATTATTCTAACAATTTTAATTACATGCCTAATTGCACAAACACTCATTATTCTTAATATATTTGACCATGGAGCAAAATTGACTTTTTCAAACTTCTTATACTAATTAATTATGCTTGTAACTATTATTCTTAATCAGTTTAAAATCTCTGCAATCTTTTTATGTAAAAAATCACCTTTAAAAAATCAACTATTTCATCATATTCAAAATCTGTTAATTAAAAAACTTTCTTTGATTTTTGAACATTTGATATTATAATAAAAAAAATTTTTAATTGTATTTGAAAGCTACAGTTTTCAATTTTTTAAAAGTATAAATTATTTTATATTTATAGTTAAATATGTTGCACAATTGAATTTTAACTTCAAGTGAAAATTTCTAAAATATTATTATTGATTATTTCAGATATAGACTTTTATATATCCAACGTAACTATTGGTTATTGTATAATATTTAGTATTTTCAAAAATTCTTATATTTTAGATTTATTTTTAAAATTTTTTATTTATTTTTACAATAATAACTTAGATATAAAAAATGATAAATTATTTTATAAGATTGATAACAAATAATGAACACAAGACTTTATTAAAAACAATAATTTTATTATTATTATAACAATAATCTTTATAAAATAAATAGAATATAATGAAATTAATTGAAAAAATATATACAATTATTTGAATTAATATCTATGAATTTTAGGACACTTATATAAAAAAAAATAAATGATATTTAATTTATTTATTTAATTTAATTTATTTTATTTTGAAACCTGTGATCAGATTAATATAATATGTTTATTAATCTTTAAAAAAACTGATAAAGATATATTGAGCAATTATATTATAATTAAACTAAATTTCATGTTGACTCATTTGTTAATAGCTTTCAATTCTTAAATAAACTTAAGCCTCTAAGTATGACCTTGGAAACAATATTTTGTTTTAAGATAAGTTTTGAGTAAAAACCCTTTTAACTTATTTATTATTGCCAGTAAATTGTTGCTATCTATAATTTTTCAAGGAATTGATTTCAAGAAATTACAATAGAAAAAAAAAATAAAGGAATAGTAATATTTAAAAATACACAAATATATATACTATATATAAAGGAAAAGAAAAAAGGAAAAAATAAAAATGTTTCTTGCTTTCCAAAAGATCTCTACTAAAAACCTTCTCTTATTAGGAACCAACCTTTCTGTGATATTCTTCTTCTTTCTAATTATCCAAGAAACTTATTAATACATGATTTTAATTATTTTTTTGTAACTTTTGAGATACTTATTGCATATTCAAATCTAGTATCTTGCTCATGACTTCCTTTTTTAATATTGATTTTGTATCCATCTGTACAGACCTTAATAGCTTATAGTTTTTTTTTTTTTTTAATTTGCAGTCAGATCAGCATGGCTTGTCTTTATTATATATATATATAATATTTATAAAATATTTTGACTTTCACATACTAACTTACCCATTATTGAAAAACTATTTCTTTAAATGCAACTTAGGGAATAATATTTTATTCCTTTACTGACTTGAATAAATCCTCTAGTTAATAAAATTATTATCTATAGGTCATTATATAGATCATTCTAAATTCTGACTATAGTTAAACATCAAATTATTTCCTTCTATAACAAACTCAATTCTTGATAATTTCTATATACTTCATTCCTTTCTTTTTTTTAAAAACTTCTTGTCAAGTTTTCTGCGAATGTAAGTTCTTCTTCCTGTTATTGTATGACCTGTATAATAGATTTGTACTCAAGTCTTTTGGTTCTTTTGTCCTCTTCAGTAATATTCTACTTCTTTTCCCATTTTATTACTTTTTTGCAACAGTTGTTTCATATATCCTCCTTAAAATTTTTCTTTACCTTATAACAAAGCTTACTGATTATGCTCTATATAACTGTCGAGGGAATTTTGAGTTGTGCTTTGAGGTAATTCTTCAAGAAAGTGATTTTGTTCTCTTCTATATATCTATAAATAGTATTGAAAAGGCTTTTACCAGATTGTCAAATCTTGTTTAACCATTTATTTGTCCAGTCATTGGTTGCAGGATGAACTTCTTCTTTGTCTTTGATTTCTTTACTGATATAGCAATTGATCTTTTCTTTTACTATTTTCTATATATTTTCTCTGATTTCTTTGGTGGTCAGATATTCAAATAGATGTTCTAATATTTCTTCTATAAGTTCATATACTGGACAGGTCATTATGATATAAATATCCAATTTTTTTTTTTAATATCACAGTACTAAAAGTTTATTATAGGTTAGATTAGTCAAGAAGCTTTTGTTTTTATTATATTTGCAAGAGATATCAAAGGTATTGGATAGGCTGAACTGATTCTAGAAGGTTAACCAGTTTATAATTTTGTTATTTGAATTCACAGTTCTTGAATTCTTTTCTGCATTGTTCAATTTTTTTCAATTTTTTTCCTGTTGAATAATTTGATGAATTGCCTAATACCGATCTCTATTATATACTCCCTTCATATGGCTATTGTAAGAACTGTCTCTAACTCTGGTAGTTGATGCCAGATTATTAGATTTTCACATCTAGCTTTTTGGTGAATAGATCTACTTAATTATTAAACTTATTGATTCTATGGACTTTAATCTTTATAATTTCCAAGATAAGATCTTTCTTTTTAACTAGGTCTTTAATTTTACTTCATAAATAGTTAATTAGTAGTCTTTGTTCATCTTCTTGTTAATATCATCACTTGTGAACTAATGGACTTTCATGTCTTAACTACAGTATTACAACAAAGAATATTGAGACTATTGTATTTTGGGAAGCTATATATATTATAGTTAGAATGGTTAATATTTCTGTTCTACTTGCTAATAGTCATATTGATACCCCTGCTGAGAATTGCTTCACAATTTTATTTTCTACTAGAATAAAGGTTAAACCCATTTCAAGCT